AAATACGCAGAACTGTGTGTGTGTACCATCCAAGATGCCTGCCATAGATTCAGCCAATCAAATTTCGTCTAAGCACTATCATTTTCAATGGCGCCCTCAATTTGCACAGAAAGTTCATTACAGCTAGTTGTATCCGTATGTTTGAAACTCGAGCGTTGCGGTGTATGGGTGTAAATTTACTCGATTTTATTTATTTTTTAAATTTTTGAATAAGATCCTCTACTTGGCCTCTTTCTGGCTACGATAGTTTAATAATTTGTTATTATCAATACCAATTATCATTAATGAAATAATAGTCAGTCAGAGGGCTTATTCATGGTAATAATATGTATAATAAGCCAGAAGGTGGCGCTTTCCTACGGCGGCCATCTTGGATGGTACACATACACAACTCTGCATTGCTTCGCCATTTTGTCAGCACTCGTATTTGTTTAATAGCTCTGTGGTTAAATCAAATACAATTTTCTATAAATGGATATTATATAGTCCAGTAGTTATTAACGATCACAATTAAACAAGTTAACAAACATTCAATCTAATTTAATCATTAACAAACGCAACCCTATAATAGTTTGTCTCATGGGCGCAGCCATTTTTGTTTACATATCATGGGCGCAGCCATCTTGTTTACCTAAGAGCGCCACCAACGTGATATAAAGTTACCTAACTAACCGCACGAACGAGCTCACGCTGCTCAACGTGATCAACTAGATACTGATTAAACAATTTTAATTAACGTTTAACTGTGAACTCTTCCAACATTATTATATAGAGATAAATAGGACACACATATTGATGTGGTTATGATTCTTAGTCAAACAATTTAACATGTCATCTCATCACAATGAATAGTCGTAGCACAGCACTACAACTGGTTTGAGCATGCACATTAATCGGCTCTCAGCCTAGGCCTAGTTATTACCAAAGATAATTCAAAATAAAACCGCAACTCATGAGTACAAGATACCAATTTATCTTCAGATAACTATTTATAATTGTAACTAACTAAATCTAAACTGTTTATAAATTCAACGTAACAGAACAATTCAATAACACCAAAACAGTACTTTGTTTACAACGACAATTACACACGTCTTGTCACTGTTCAGACCCGTGCAAGAAAGGGACTGAAAAACGTGTTCGGCTACGTAGGCCTTCTAACATGATACGCACAGTAAAATATATCTACGCCCGGCGCATCACCGCAAAACGAAAACAAACAAAAATAGTTTCTTATTATGGTATAGTAATCAAAAAACTCATTTCCCCACAGTATCATTGAAAGGCATTTAGTTTATGAGAAGTCATTGTAACATAATCATTATTATTGTTTTCTGATGGAAAAGTGACTGGCAATTTAGCAGATTTGGGCGTAATCAACAGATAGTCTGAACATGAACATACATTAGTGTCTCAGCGAGGAGCCATGCATTTTTAGTTTGAACATGAAAACAGTGGATCGCAAACTTTGCCAAGAGCTACCGGTAAATCTTGTTTTAGTGGAGAATTCAAGCCAATATGATTGGAGGATAAAGCCACATATGCGCTGTCAAAATTAGGAGCTATATTGCTATGTTCTAAGCTTGGAACAGTGTCTTTAGTGTCTAATATTTTAGGTAAATTGTCGGCGAGTGGGACTATACCCTCGTGATCTAAGCAAGGGGCTATATATTGGCGGTCTGGGCACACAGTACTCAAGTCTGAACACGGTGTTATAACTTTCTGGTCAGAGTATTGACCTTGAGGCATTAAAAAATGACCATTGTTCTTAATTAACACGGCATTTTTATCTCTAGTTATATTTGAAGAGACTGATGAGTCAATATACATGACTTTACCAATGCAATTAACATTTGATTCAGATCTTAAATTTTCATTCTGAACTGACTGGACGTTCAATTTCTTTTCTCTTGCAGTATTGTATACCACTGTACCATCTAATAATCCATCTTTATCTTCAAGAAAATGTACACTGTTTTCAGTGGTATTCTCAGTTCCAAGATATGGATGGTTCTGCAATATTCTACAGTCAGCACTACATCCCCTTTGCGATATGGTGATCGTAGTCTGCCTAGCACGCAACTCATCAAATACTTCACTTTCACGAACCGGAAAATTTACTTCATTGAAATTCTACAATGGAAAATACAAATGGATAAATAATGATACCAGTGCTCAAATAGGAGCAAGATGTTAAAATTCTGTCAAGCATAGCACTTCAACAAAACGTTCCTTTATTCAGTTGCATAAAAAAAAGGTGTGTCTGGTAGAATTTCAATCTGGAATCTCTCGCTATCAAGGCGATTATCACACCCGAGCAGATCTAACTACCTGGCATTTTTCTCATACAACTGACTGAAACTCTAACACATAGTGTTTAAGCTACAACAGCTTATAGATTGCAGCTTGAAAGTCAGTAAATAAAATTCAAATTGGGTTTGCTGTGCAGCACCGTAAACACAATATAAACAGACAGATACAAATGTGCTCGAATAGGAACAAGATGTTATAATCGTATCAAGCATAGCCCTTCGAAGAAATGTTTATTCACTTGGATAATAAACGTATCTCGGGCTGGATTCGAATGTGCAACCTCTTGCTATCAAAGCGAGAGTAAAGTATGCGTAAGTAAACAGCCAGAAATAGAACCAGGGCTATCGGACAACACTGGTTCTTCCTCAGTAGAATATATACTATTATTTCTTATTTTTTTATGTAATGTAATATGTATATGTATTATGTATAAGGTCTTCCAAGATTCCTCACTTTAACGTTGATAAAGATAGCAGGAGCTATCGAAATATGTGTGTGTGTGTGTGTGTGTGTGTGTGTGTGGGTGGGGAGGGGGTGTTTGCGTGTGTGTGTGGGTGTGTGTGTGTATGTGTGTGTGTGTGTAAAACATAATTTAAATTGATACGCACATGCAATTAATAGTATAAACTCTTACAATTTTAGTGAATTTAGGTTCAGGCCATTTTGTAAAAACTTTGAAGTTTTTCAGTTTCGAATATCCACAATACAAAGTTACCACAGTTACCATTACTATTCCAATGATTATTAAAACAGCTGAGTCCTTCAAGGTGTTCCAAAAGTGTTTCTGAGAAGGTTGTACTACAAAGAGAACATGTGAAATTGATTATTATTAATAATGTCATTTAATAAAATAGCCAGTGTTTATTATGTCGGCACCGGAAAATATGCCAACATCGATATAGTGTCAATCTGTTTCTCTGATTTGATAATGTAAATTATGACGTAATCAAACTAAGAACGCTGCAAACGAAGAATTGAGTGGACTGCAGCCACCCCCCCCCCCCCGGTCTGAGAGAAAACCCACAATACGTTGAGGAGAAAAAAAAATTATACTAGAGACTTTAAGATCGGTTGAATAAGCCTTTCAAACCACTAAATTGTCATTTTTGGGGTGGGGGTGGGGTGGAAGGCTTCGCCCTGGACCACTTTCGAAAGGGGATTAACGATGCCCGACCACGACCACTTTGTTCTCGTCGGCGACTTTGACCCTTGTCGGGGATTCTTGCGCCGCCGCTGCTCTCATCAGAGGCTAATTATACTAAATACCCATGAGGTCTTTCAGATTGAGCCGCTCTATATTGTATTTACTCCTTTTCTGTTTAATTTCGTTTTATATTTGTCTAATAGTCCTACGTATATATTTATGTTTTAAAGTATAGGCCTACTACTTAGAAATCTTATTCAAATAGTAATACTAAGGGCTGTCTGCCTAAAAATACTAATAATAATATATGTTTCTTTTACGTTTGAGAGTATACAAGGGAAAATTTGACTAACGTCCCTGTAGCCAGAGGTGTCATTGCACACACATGCAAAAACAGAGACAAAAGACAGCACAATCACAAGAAGAGAAATTAATTAGCAATTAATCAGACAGCAACTCAGAAGTGGATTTTGAGAAGGACTCGAAATTGCTGTCAAGACGAATCTCAAGCGATAGCACGGAAGCGGAATTGAAAAAAGGAAAAACTAAGTGCGTTGCATCTGCCAAACCTCCTATGCAGAAGAAAAAGAAAATCTATGTGAAAACTAACAGTGAACAAAATTTGACATCGATTGTACAAGAACGAATAAGTTAATTGCAGGGAAGCTGTCTTGCGCCTTGTGGACAGCAAAGGGAAACTATGAGCAGAACAACAAATCTGATAGTTGAGGTAGTGGATCGAGATACGATTTCCTGGATTGCCCAAAATAAAAACGAGTGAAATTTGTTTGAACTCTTTCCACGCACGCAATATCATTTATTGAGTTTGGGTTCAAAGCGGGAACAGCATAATTCTAAGATATCATACCAAAGCGACGATTGGCTTTGGACGTAGTAATTTCAACATGTTGAGACTATTTTTAGATCTCGAAATATTGGTATTCCAAGATGCTTGTGTTCAAAGACCTTCTCTAAAGCAATGTTATTAATATGGTAATTATCAGAAATGAAATTTTTATAACGGGTAATTATATAATGTTTTGCAATTGGATGCATTAATTTTCATTAAAATTTCTTTGCTCCAGTGATGTATTGCATTTAAATGTGATTGAAGCGTTGTGACATCAGCAAGCAAAGAAATAGGGCGATAAAGAACGGTATCATCGGTATACATCATCAGTTTTGTGTTAAAAGAAATTACTACGGGTAAATCATTAACAAAAAGACCAAATAATAAAGGCACAAGGATTTACCCTTGTGGGACTCCAGAAGTAACTGGATAGTGTCAGAATTTGTGCAACGAAACTTAACACATTGAGATCTTTGGGATAGAAAATCAGAACACGTTATATTTTCATTGCGGATTTTTCACATAGTCAGCTTCAAAGCTGTCAGGTGAGATTGACCAGTCATGAACCATCTGAACAAGCTGTGAAGTACAGGAAAAACCACGACCGAATTCAAATTAAACGTTTGATATCAAATGATTGAGAGAACAATTATTGTAAATAACAGTGTTTACAACTCTTTTTAAAATTTTGCAAATTAATGAGGTAAAACAGATATCAGGCGATAAGAACTGATGTTTTTTTCTACTACACTTTGCTTTGTAGATTAGTACAGCATGGGCAATTTCCATGCACTAAGTACCTTTCTAGACTGCAGAGACATGTTGAAAAAAGTGGGTAGCATATGACATCTTTATTTGGTTTAAGCATGTGAGGTGCGATAGAATCCGGGCCACAAGCCTTATCCGGTATGAGGCCAGAAATAATGTTTGCAACTTCGGGAGAAGGGTGTAACTTAGAACACGGTACATGGTGTCAGAATGTCTAAACCAACGAGTAGTTCTAGTGGTTGAAACACTAACCCTAGCAATACTAGCGGACAGGGTGGACAGACGACGCCTCTCGTTAGTGACGCCAACTTGCAGCAGGCAGCTGGACCAGCAGCAGTAATCATTTTTGTTAACGAACTATTTGGAATTTGTCGCGATGCGTGAATAGTCGCCATTGCAAAAATATCAATGCGAGGATTTATCATGTGACCTGATTTGACCAATCCCAAAACAAAATTAAACTACGATTGAGCGCGCATTATGACAACAACAAAGATGGCGACCTACAGGCAGCCGCACGATCCACCACCTGGAAGTGGTAAGAAATCTGTAAACAAAGGGGTAAATCCAAAGAATCTTCGCTGCACAATGCATTTTGATGTTTTTCGGTCAAGCGGGGTACAACCTTTTACAAGAAAAAATGGAAAACATTTAGAATGTGCGCAAAACAATGAAAAAGATTTGGAAAGCCATGAATGTACTCTGGCCGAGTCGTCGATAGATTTGCTGGCGTGTGAATTTAGTATAGTAGCCCTGGCCTAGATGATGATACTAGCTTACAAATCGGATACCACCCTATTAATAAAAGAACAATTGAATTTGCTAGCAAAAAATACAAATAACGTGAGCAGAATCTAAGACAGAATAATGATGATCTTCTAGCCTAAACCTTCGCCAAACAAATCGAAACTGAGGTCAGCATCGTCGATCGAGTTGACCAACGACCCAATTATTACCTAAATTTTGCATAATATATAAGAAGTTAAACGTTTGACTATGGTTCGTCGCAAAAGACAAACGGATATATATATATATATATTGTTTAGGAAGTTCAGATCTGCTTCAGCTTTCATTAGTTTCTTTAGAAGTTTCTGAAACCTTCTACAATCATTTTTGCTCACATCACTATGTTGACTCAGATCTTGAATAATATAGCCATACGACATATAAACATACGACATTATTCAAGAAAGCATAAACCTGAATATAATATATCTATCATTAAAATGAATTTATGTTTTTACTTTTGTTTAGGTGTACTATTACAAGCAGCCAAGCTAAAAGCAGATGAGTCAATTTTCATGCATATTGAAGAAGGGTATTGTGTTGCCTTTGAAGTCCACTACAAGATTCAACTGTTGCAGTTCTATCTAGAAGGATTTGTTTGCCAACTATAATTGGCGTAAAGACATCTGATGTAAATGTTGTCAGATACAAAGTTTTCTGTACCTCGTCGTCTTCAGAACAGAGTCTTCCTCTAACAAAAGATGCACTTTTACAGCATTGTAAGCGGTTTAATTACCAAGCCTCTATTCATCGCAAGTCATTAAGTGCAAAAATTAATCCACCATCCCGAAATGGTCATCCCATGGGTGGCAAATTCAGGATGAAGAGCTAATCATTACTTGGTCAACAAAGGCTCCAACACCAGAGATCTTATTGCAATCTGTACACTGGATGTAGGCAAGGCAAGTGTGAAACAGGAAGATGTTCCTGTCGTAAAAGTGATTTGCCTTGTACTTATTTGTGTAAATCTGTAAGTTTGTGGAAACAACTAGTGTTGAACTCTATCATTTGAGAACATCGTAGACATTGGTGATGATAAGGATAGCGACATCTGATGACTTGCTTACAGATCCATTGGCTTTTTAAGATTATTTTTCTTCCTCTTAATTAAACAATATTCATGTCATTGAATATACAATATACAAAGATGATAAATCATTAAAAATTACAAAAAATTTGAAATAACAATAGGTTGTATAATTTAATTACAGTACTTTTATTAAAATATAAAAAAATATTCAATAATGTAACGTAACTTAAAGAACTAAACGCATGAGAAGATAAGCAATTTTTAGCCATGAGATATAAAGCAAACTAAGGCACAGGAGTACGGAAAGCATTATTTATGTAAATATTTTTTATACTTATTTTTTTTTATTGTATTTATGGCGTATTGTAGAGAAAGGCGAAGAAGTTGATGAGGATAATTTAATTACAGTACCTTTATTAAAATATAGAAAATACAAAAATGTAATCTAACATAAAGAACTTTCTTAACGCACGAGAAGAACATAAGCAATTTTTAACCATCAGATGTAAAGCAAACTAAGACACAGAAGTATGAACAGCATTATTTATGTAAATATTTGTTAGATTTATTTCTATAGTATTTATGAAGAAGTTGATGATGAGGATAATTTAATTACAGTACTTTTATTAAAATATAAAAAAAATACAATAATGTAACGTAACTTAAAGAACTAAACGCATGAGAAGATAAGCAATTTTTAGCCATGAGATATAAAGCAAAGTAAGGCACAGGAGTACGGAAAGCATTATTATGTAAATATTTTTTAGACTTAATTTTTTATTGTATTTATGGCGTATTGTAGAGAAATGCGAAGAAGTTGATGAGGATAATTTAATTACAGTACCTTTATTAAAATATAGAAAATACAAAAATGTAATGTAACATAAAGAACTTTCTTAACGCACGAGAAGAACAAAAGCAATTTTTAACCATCAGATGTAAAGCAAACTAAGACACAGAAGTATGAAAAGCATTATTTATGTAATTATGTGTTAGATTTATTTCTATAGTATTTATGAAGAAGTTGATGATGAGGATAATTTAATTACAGTACCTTTATTAAAATATAGAAAAACATAAAGAACTTAACGCACGAGACCGCACGAGAACCATGAGATGTAATAAAGCAAACTAAGACACAGGAGTACCGAAAGCATTATTTATGTAATTATTTGTTAGATTTATTTCTATTGTATTTATGGAATATTTTAGGTGTTGGT